CGGCACGAAACCCAGCCTGCTTCTCACGGGTCTGCTCTTCGCGCGTAGTGTACAATCGGCGGAGAATGACGGACGCCAACAGCTTTGACGTTATCGGGATAAGGCTTATGCCCCTATGATTGGCGCAGTCATTGCGCAAGCCCTCTTTGAAGATGGAGACGACATGCTATTTGCGTGTGACAACCAAGTTGAACGGTACTCGATATGCATGAAGGGTAACGCACTGTTTCGTGCGCACTACAGCTAAAGTACAACTGGTCGTAGTTGCTCTAACGTTGATGATAGCTCAATAACCGAAGCTGACCACAGTAATTACGACCAGGGATGAGTTTTGTGCGTACGGTGCAATCCGAACGATGTACTTTTCATTACGAGTATCATGGGTCTATTTGAATAACAATATTTATTCAGTGACAAGGGTTGGAGTTCTTGAGGTGAACGGACATTTTTTCACAAGGTTGCGATTAGCAAGCAAACTGAGCATAAAATTAATGACCACTGTAAAGACTCATCTCCCGGCAGAAGTCAACGGACTGGATTTGTTGATAAGGTCAGTGATAGTCAGTCAGTTAGACCAGCTGATAACTGGTATGATGTCCGCATCAATTGAGCATTATCGAGGACAAACTAAGGATTGTCAGAATAACAAAGTACATGTTGCACAGATCAAAATATCATCCGTGAAACAGCGATGCACGAGGCAGATATGTGTACGTGTATGGGGTAAATTTAAGTTGTCTAAGGTGCGTGGGATTCAGGGAGGACCAATCCGACCTGTACACAATGAAGGGCAATCTATCTTCACCTTTTCTTACCAAGTTTTGGCCAAAAACCGCAATGCTTTAGCCTCGACTCACAATCCTCTCGCTTTGGCACACAAACTTAAGTCATATCGCTCTAGGCGAGTCTGAGGTCAACGAAGGTTGAGACATCTTATTTTCTACAAATGTTCATGTTGCAAAGCTGGGCAAAGAAAAGATGTGTGGCGGTTGCACGCTGCATTGCGTGTTGATTAAATGTGCCCGTATCGTGAAGCCATTTGGTACAGCCCTTACAGCTTCAGTGTTTCCGTGTGACATGCGATACTCCTATGAGTAAAACTATGAAATGTATCACAATCACAAGTCCTGACAAATAAAAGTTGATACCGTTCCATCTCTTCACTAAAAGTGAACTCCGTTCTTGAGATTTGGATACATTGATAGGCCGAGAATAAAGCACCGTTTACCGTTCAATGAAAAGACAAAGGGCTACTGAATGCACATGCCTGACGAGGGGTAAGAACCACGAAACCAGTCGTGTACTCTTAGGGAAATTTTGTCCCGGTCATTCAGATATCAATTATTTTAATATTTGATTCATCCTGGTTGATTGGGAGTTGTCAATGTTTGACTTCCAAAAAGATTTTATGGGAATGAGTTCGACTGATCTTGAGGATATAAATGAAACCATTATACTGCAATGCTGCTATCCGCATTTGTCCCGTAATGATTTCAGCGATATGCTGTCCCACACGCCTTCGGCAATTATGCGTAAATGATTCCTCGGTTGCTCTTTGCCCGGTCTAACTGTCTCTCGACAAAGGCATAAGAATACGCTCCCATAATTGAACTGTGTTTGTTGAAACAACGAGTCACAATGTATGATGGAGTACAGGTACTGTAGCACGTTACTGACCACAGTTGTTGAACAATGCCAAGTAGATGCGAGAGCTCCGTGTAGGTGCCTGAGAGCCATAGCATCACCTCTGTGTGATCTGCCCCTCCATAGGTGTCGCTGATAGTCATCTACACTCTCTAACTTGTCAATCAGTTTGATCACCGTCAATCTTGAAAGACTCGAATTATATGTGGTGATCTCGATTGCACCCCAGAAATCACTCATCTTTAGGAGTATCACTTGAAATCAAACGAAAAATAAAACAAACAAAATTTTAGTCGAACTTAAGAAAGTAAACACCTGTGTGACCTTCAAAACATGACATGATTTCCACTCAGGAAACGATTATTGGTAAGGTACGGTGAACTGACCAAATTCGGAAGTTTCATGGAAGATTTTCATGAGAATATCAAAAGACAAACAATATAGCAAACTAGCATGTTTTTGTAACTTCGTCTTCAGACATTTACAGCTATGTATGTATGTGTTTATATAAGATATGGAAATAAATGTGAAAGTGCACAAATGTCTGTCAATTTATTTAAAGCAAATAGAGAAAAGGGGAGGTGGAGAAGGCGGCCGGGGGGGAACCAAGGTCGATTCTAGAACTTTCCGATCACCCCTTTTTTACGCGCGACCAGTCACGCCTCATTACAACATGATTGAGGTCATGGTTCGAATCGTCACGCAGGTCGAGGTGGGGTCAAGACAACTGGATTGTGACCACCATTTTCTTTTGTTTTCATAGTGGTGGGTTTAGGATTTCGATTGCGACATCTTCTCACGTTGCTAATAGACGTTGCCGAACGTAATTCGACCATAGTTTTGAGGCACTTTGTAGATAACTTTAAATGCATCGTTCTCTGTCTGGTGCCCGGTATTGTCAAGGTGAGCCGAAATCGCACTGGTTATTGCTTTCTTGCAACCTGTGCTAAGCCAAGCCGGTTTATGTTCTCTATTATCTCGTTTAAATTTGATTGGGACGAAACTTTGGAAATGAATGTATAGACCGTTCCATATTGGTTTGCGAAAAATTGAACGGGCATAGCTTTTCATTCGGCCCCTTCTTCAGGTTAACATAGAGGAAGTGAAGCGCATCCTGATCCTCTGTTTCCGTCGTAAAGTTGAATGACGGATGAGCTTGGTTAAAACTATCCAATATTATTTTCTGTAAAATAATTTGGTCGGAAAGGATAAAAATGTTGTCGACATAACGGTAGTATAGAGGGAGTTGATGAATGATGTTTCGTAGTTCGTTGTTTTCCAGTTTGGATAAGAATACATCTGCAAGAAATGGGCCTGGCGGAGAACCCATGGCTACACCGTCCTTCTGTCTGTAGATTGTGCCAATAAAAGAAAATTGGATATTATATGCACATCGCAATAATAATTTCTTTAGGTTTGCAATTGGAATACCAATTTGTATGTTTTCCTCATCGATGCACTAACAGAGATAAGACAGTATCTCAAGTAGTTGCATATTTGTAGAGAGTGTTTGTATGTCCAACGAGCTCACTATCAGGTCTTGACGTCCAGATCCCGAATTAGATCGACAAGTTCGAAAGTATCTTTCAGACTATGTTTGCAGATCTTCCTAATCGGTTCCAGGATTCTTACCAACCATCGAACAATTGAGTGAAAATGAGAATTTCCCATATCTAGCACTGGTCGTAATGGTGTTCTAGCTTTGTGAACTTTCGGCAGGCCAACTAGTCTAAGGATATGTATCCCAATTGGTTTCATTTGTTATTAATCAGATCTCGACATGTAGTTTTGATCTTTCAGTGTTTTGATACTTTTAACTGGTTTTCATTTCGCTGTTACTAACATACCTTTCATTTTTTGTCCTTCATGAATTTGTTGTTGTCATTTAGAATTGTCATCATTTTAACTATGTAATCTTTACAATCCAGTAGTACTACTCCCCCACCGTTGTCGGGTTTGTAAATCATGATTTCGTTATTCTGCTTTAGCTGGCTTAGGGCTATGGCATGTTTTTGACTGAGTAAGCATTTACGTGATACTTTGATGCGACGATATTGAAAACGGGAACCAACAACGGGTGGCTTTGAAATCGTCAACTGCCTTCTGTATTATTGCAGTTAAACCTTCTGTCTGTGAGCAAATTGAACTTCTGTCGAAAGTTGAATTGGGCAGCAGAATTTCGTACTGAGCGATAGAACCTCCAGTAGTATATTATCCATAGGTAGACTCAATAGATTGTGAACGTATCGCTTCAGATTCCGGGGAAACTTTGATCTCGCTTTCTGATCATTTATTGTATAATTCAATTTTTGCAACGTTTCTTTTCGACCCCTTTTTCTGATGATATTCAAATAAAATTGCTCGAATCATTCACGTTCTTCAATGCTCAGTAGTCCATATATGGCCTCGTACTGTTCAATGTTTTCCTTGAACGACACGACACATAATCTGATGGTATCCATCTCGCTACAGGCATGGCTCTTTAGGGAAATCGCATCAGTAGATTTTCGTTCTGTTCTATGCATTGATGGAGAAATTCGATCTTCGTGTTCACTTCTGCCAGCTTCACCATTGCATTCGATTGCCAGTTTTATGCTTCAGGTTTTCTGTACGGAGGCACTGAGGGCTCTTTAAGCCCTCACCTGGGAGTTGGATCGAGGATACAAGAGACGGACTGGCGATATTTCATGGTTTAGCTTCCACATGCCTTAGCCAACCGTGATCAGCGACCGCAAAACCAAAACGCTTAGAGACAACGACTAGGCGTCTGTCTGTGTGTGTACGTGCGCACTTGTGAGTGGATTAAATAATGTAAACTTTGCAAATCGTGTAACTGGAAAATGAAAATAGCCGTTTGATCAGAGGCCCACCAGTCGAGTGAGTAGCATGCTCGCTTTGTGCTGCTGAGGTCTCGGGTTCAATCCCTGGCGAGGTCGTCGGATTCGCAATGCTGGTGAGACCCAACCAGGTCGAAACAGCTGTACGATGCTTCTCAGCTTTATTGGAATATCTAATACCGTAATTTACTCGGTGTACTAATTAAAACTTAATCATCAATTTATAACCCACTTGAAAAATCCCGTTATTGTTTGTTCACTTGTGTGCCCTAGACCCGAGCAGATCACTCTGATGCATGCACCGTCCGGAGAGGATGGACCAACACATTTCGAGGCAGTTTCTCGTAAACGATATCAGAACATGGCGAGTCGATGCGCCCAACTACGTAATGCACTGGCCAAACAACGTGCCGCAACAGCACGCAAATTTATGCAAGATCGAAGAGCGGGAGATACGAAAGGTTCACTAATCGGACCCGGATGTAAGTTATTGTCTGTCGGTCATTGAATTGAATATCAACGACCACGACCACCACCACCACCACCACTACCACCACCTTCCGGACTTCTGTTGTAGCTTTTCTCATCCTTCTTTTCTTTGTTAGTAACCCGGAGCGCGTCGCTTCAAGGGGTAACTCACTTATGTCACAAATTGTTTTGTTTTCCCTTGATTTCTGTTCAACCTTCTTCTCACTCCGTTTTGTATTCCAATCCAACCATCCCTGTCATTATTATGAGTGTTATAACGTTGGCACCATACTTGCCCGCAAGCCGGTAAACAGATATATATGCTTTAGCAATGTAACTGTGGAATATACACATTTTGGAGTGCATAAAGCATGTACTTGACTTGACATAGCCTGAAAAAAATTCTGAAAAATTGAAACACAACATTCGGGATCTGCTGGCACTATCAAGTAGGTGATATGACACAATGCCTCATGATCTGTATGAAATCCATGCTATACCGGGTGATTCACTAAGCCGGAAACACGTCGCTGGGAAGAAATTTTAACTACGATTCATTTGCACTATTAACCGAGGAAATCGTGTCAGATGACGATCGGTGATCACAACGCACAAGTCTGTCCACACACACACACACACACACACACACACACACACACACACACACACCTACGTGAATTATCTCTGCATATCTAGTGCGGGAGATCGACCTTTCGCTGCTCGTCAAGGAACCGGTCACACTTGTCAGTCAATGTGCGATAACGAGCTTAACGAACAATGACAAAATCGATTTGGTTTGGCTGAACGCTTCGGGGTTTGAGTTTTTGGGAAACGTGCTAAAATTACAACCGTTTCAATCTGCCAGTTCATAAGGGGAAAAAATGCAAAACGTATTTTTCTACAAACCGATTTGGTTCAAAGTGAGATAGATCTGTTCAGAAAGACACCATTGACTACGGGGGGGGGAGTTGAGAAATAATGTGTATAAGGCTTTTTATCTTCAATCGCCCAGTTTAGCTCATTTCGGAGAAGTACAAATGTCACTGCTTTCTAACAGTATATATGTATATTTCCATCTTGTCCGTTCAGTTTCCCTGTCAGTCACAGTTTTGCTTCCGTGAATCTAATGTTTGATATAAACTGCGGAATTAAAAGTTTCTAATCCGAACAGCTTCCATTCTTTGAGCTTTTTGATGAAATAAGTTTAAAATAGACAGAATGATGCGTATCTATTAAAGATTCACAGTTTCCTCTGTATGTTGGTTCGTTCAAGTTTGGTTAACGCAATAACAGCTGAAGTCTACAACTTTCATCGGTGCGACCATTAGGGATTGTTGAAAATATGGGCTTGTTTCAAGAAATTAAAACATCCGACGATGACGAGAATTGATACAACAAGGATAAGTACGTGTGCGATGTAGATGAGTAACGAAAAAAGAAACTGCAGGTGACAGGGTGTGATCATGGCCACTGTGGATAGAATGCAATGGTCATGACGGGAATTACGGGGTAAAACATTTAATTTCAGTTGGCTTGTGAATGTTTTCAAATTTGATCTTATTATTCTAGTGAAACACTGATCATTCTTTCAATGCATCGTTGTACGATTGTTAATTATCTTATCAAGTAGACCTTTCAGTGCCAAAAGCATCCGCACAATTACATTTGGTTGCGAGGACTCCGTGTTATTCGAGGGAGCCTCTTTCACAATGGTCTTTACTCACTAGACTATTGAGGGCTTAGACTGAATCCACTCATGCCATGATTCATTCCAACATTCACGTCTGAACATGGTGACCGATTTATTTGTATTAATTGTGATATCACTCGCTTGTTTGCTCGGCTGACCGAGGTCAATGACCGTCGGGTTTGCTTATTCTCGCCTGAAATTCACCCGATCAACGGTCAAGACCAAAGTGTACCCGGGTAGGGTGGAGGGAGAGATGGGGGATAAACAGTCCAACCTCATCCCAACGGAAACTTTCATCCTCGCGCGGTGGATCACTCCGTAAATACTTTTGTTTGTTTATAGAGAAATCAAACCATTCTGACTGAACGGGATTATTGCTAGACCCGGTCCAATCGGTTGAAGCACCAATCTTTTTGTGGGTTTTCCCGTAGAATGCGATTGGTTGGATTTACTTGAAGTTCTAACGGTTTCACTTGAAAGGTTATAGTTTGTTGTTAGGTTCTCTATACGTCTCACGAATAATTACGTATTACATCAGGGTGTGTGTGATACGAGATGAATTATGTCAGTGTTTTCTTCCTACTGGTTAATCGTTATCTACATCACTTCTTGAATTGGGAGTGGTCGTTATCAGGCGATAAGCATGACAGCGTTTGCATATTTGAAAAGGGTTCCAGGCAGTTCATGTGTACATGAAATCACATAACGATAACATTATCATACACATATATCATAGATTGCGGGAACAACCCTCCCCCTGTTGCATTTGTGTCCTTCATTCTCTATATGGTTGCATCTCTAGCTCTGTGAGCATACAACATTAGTGGAATTGCAATTCTTACGGAAAATAATATGAAGCCTAACTGTAGGCTGTTTTTACCAGAGTACCTTTATCAAATGATTTTCTTCATATTTTCACGGTTTTCATGATTGTGTCTCGGTTTCACCTCTGAACAATCCAACCATGACAAACATCATGGTGAACAAATCAGGCAACGCTTTCACCCGATCCTCGGTACACGTTCAAACCGGTCTGTTCCTGGAAGAGCTGACAGAAGAAATTGAGCAAGATGATTTCGGCACACAGACAGATTATTTTTTGGATCGTCCACCCACACCACAATTTGTCCCAGCGAAAACCGGTGTGGATGTAGCCACACAGATTTACGACAACGATGTGAGTACTCTCTTTTTTCTTATTCTCTATTTTTTGTGCTATTGAGAACACAGTCATTTTGAAAGAGTCAAACTGGTGGACAAATCACAACGTTTGATCAATGATCTGTGGATCGGATGCTTCGGCACAGTCATTTTGAAGGCAACTTTTCCGCGGTTTCGTGAGAAGCTGTAAAGGAACCAGTGAATAAAAATTTCTCTGTACACATCCGATGGGTTTCGTAGAGAGTACGAATATTCATTCCAGATACGCATGTGAAGCGCCTCTACCAAATCATTCGTGTATCTGTATGTCCGCGAAATCCGCACAATGCTTCCTCGTGAATAGCGCAATGAGAGTGAATTTCAAACAGATACAAATAGCTTGACACAAACGTACCACATAAACAACAGCTACAACAGAGCTTTCAAATATTATGCATGCTTATGCTTGCTGCAATTAAAAAGTCATACGATTAAGTGCGAAGGAATCAAACTGGCTAACATATTGATGCTATTTGGTGAGTACCAGTGGTGATGGTGCGGTAAAGTCAAAGTTAAACTTTTATTATGGGAATTACTTACAAACTCGTGCTTCTTTTGTTCTCATGGAATATTCACTCCATGGAATCGTTTCCCGGGGTAAAAGACTATAAAATGTCAGATCTTGTTCCGGGTAGGAGATAACATAACATGGGCGTCAATCAATTTGCTTGTTTAGTTGTGTAGGTATGTGAGGTATGCTGGGTTCTCCATCAAGTCTCCGCTTGAAAGATTCGACAGTTGACGCACAAACGACGTCAGATGGAAGGGTGTTCCAAGTGGTGCACTCTGTGATTGATGCTGGCATTTCAGTCGACACTTTGAGATAGTGTCCATTGAGCTATATTGTGGTAATCGGAACAGTACTGAATGTAAAAATACGAGAACCCTTAATGCACTTCTCAGAACTGGATTGGCTCCAACCCGAACTGCGGAAGCCAATGAAACACACGAGGAATTGATAGCAGCAAGTGTTTATGTTTTATTGATGGAATTAGAGGATATTTTATAGAAGGTAATAGTCCATATGATTGGTTGAACGACCGTCCTCCAATCACGTAACCGTTTGCACCGACGCATCATATGTAATAACTCGGATGTCATGTTCTCCCGGTGTACCATTGGCCGAGCTTCGGGAACGGTGATTGGATGACATAAAACTGTACCTGGTCGTACATGGATTGCGGTCACGGAAGTCTGGATCACCACATACGTGTTGGGTGACAACGTGAGCAATGGATGGCATGGATGATTCGATGTTTGCAACGTTTATTCACAAAATCAAGTCTCCTCGAATTCGCTGCTACTGAGCAGAATACAGTCCCAATTGATCGTGATCTCTCCTCATAGTTGAGGCAGTGCAATCACTCAATCATCTTGATGACAATAATTTGTGAACTCCCTGGCGTCTTGCTTCTGTGTACGTTAAATGTAACAACGTACAGAACGGATTTTCGTTCCTATTTTACACTTATGGTAGTTGTGTCGCGTTTAAAATGTGATTACTCTTTCTAGTGTAATAATTCAGTAGTGCTTAGCGTTGCACTTTCATGAGGCCCTTTTGGTTTTTGGTCTTTCGTTAGCCCATTCTGATGAAAGAGAACGAAGAAGTGAAAATCTGGGGTCAGTATCCACATGAAGATAGAGAACTCAGGTATATCATGCTTGCTGGGATGTTGAATAGGTATACGAGCTTCACCATTCACGTCACTCAATGTCTCTTATCATGCATTATGGTGATCTTGGGGTCTCCGTCTCCGAAACGTCACGCGACCTACATGATCAAATTTTTCAATGGGTGTTTTCATATCCTCATGCCAGACTTTAGTTTGATCACCTTTGATCTCTTTCCACCCCTTATCTGCTTCGAAAAACATCTCCCTATGTGGCAGACTATTGGCTGACACATCGGCNTAACCTATCGAAGTTGACCACTCACTCCACTAGGCGACCATGATTATCTAAAATCCTGTATAAAACCGGGTAATACTTGACCGGTTGCTATACCGATTCGTGTAATGCGGGGTAGGCAGCAATGATTGAACACAGATAATCTACCTTTATCCTGTTTTCGTAACGGCCAAGTCTCTGCACCACGCAGCATACACGTAGCATACACTCGATCGTTCACGGACAACAGAATATAGCAGGAACATCAGAATAGTCTCCACTGGGTGAAATCCAAGTTAGCCTTTTGTCCCTAGGGAAAGCAACAAGCGGACGAAAACCGAGCAATTTGTTCGATATGAACCTGCACCAAAATTCTAAATTGATTTTTTTTCTAGGACTGAGAACTTCACACGTTCTGTGCGTCAGTGGCGTGTTCGCAAAATGTGTTCATTCCCCCGGTTAGGACAGAGCTTACAGAACACGTTAGGCTGCACACTAGTAAGCGCTACCCAGCAAGCACACTCGTGACACAAGTTGAGTCAGGAGTGGATGACCATAGAATGAATCAGCCAGCCGTTGTCCGATTAGTCATTTGGAGAGCCAAGGAGGCAAATCTCTTGAAGAGTTATTATGTCATTCTCGTATATTCGATTTGTGCTATATGTACGCTTGTCTGCTTTGATCGTATAATTCATTCTGGCCGTCGTTCTCCAGTTTTGTTCTCGTTTTCACTGTACTGTTTGGGGCTAAGCAAGAAACGCTCGCTTTGATCCTACATCCAGTCCAAACATAACACTCCTCTGGGTCTTGGGTGCTAAAATACAGCCAGCACCTACTTAGCGATCGCTAGCGGTAACCGAACGATGACAAAAGCTTATGGTACTAGCACTGTTATCATTCCACAAGGCGGTGGAGGAATGAGAATGGTTTTTTATTACCAAAACCCGTAAGGGTTTCAGTAAATTGGCGTATATACAACAAAATGTCTCATTTGGAACGAGTTTGCAGAATTCTCACAAGTATACAAGATAAATAATGGAACGATCTGACAGTAGATGCGCGTTTACCGTAGTTAACATTTTGAGTACAGTAATTCGCTCTAGGAGGTATTGTTCATTCTTGATCGTTGGGATAAACCACCAGTATAACGTTCTGATGTGGCACAGTGGTTGGATGATCGATGTTATGCCGGTCTTGGTGCTAAAGCATTGTATTCGAAATTCAATGAGGTTTCCCCTAGCAGATTAGGGACGGTAGATGGGGAACAAGGGAAAATTCTGTACGCGACGCCAACTGTAATGCGAACGAACTTCGGGCTCACGCAGCGCAGTGGAATGAACAGAGGTGCACGACAGGATGTTCCTTGACTCGTATTCTCCCAGTTCGAGACGATACGAGGCTTTGCCGGTGACGGACGACGACGACGGCGGTGGTGGTGGGGGGAGGGGGACAGTAGAGCGGCGATACGACCGGGACACGGAGTGGCAAGAAAACACTGATAGACAGATCCTCCGTGGTTAAAGATCAACCTGCAAGGCGAAGCAAATAAAAAGCCATGAACTAAAAAGGTTCAGTGAACTACAAGCACTCAGGATACAAGATAAAATTAGTAGTAGTAGGAGGAACAGTAGTGGGGCGACGTGCCATTCACGCAATAAGTAATTTTGGAGCTCAAACATTAGAACAATCTTAGGTTTCTGATTATGTCTCATTGAAGCAGCGAATATTTGATTCTACGTGCGGCTACAGAACATGCGACAAGATCCTGGACTGTCTGAATATTCATCTGGAGCCCTCCGTGAGAAAGTCACGACTCCTTTACAATTTGGGTGTTTGGTTCTTTGCTATCCGACTTAATGGTAGTGTTATGATATACTACTCACTTGTGAGTAGTACGCAAAAAGATGTGATCAGTAGTTTCTTTCAATGACCAAAAATGAACAAGACCTATTAGAGAGAACTGTTGCTGTTTGGTACGGTGAGCAAAAGAATGCGCATCTGTTAGTGGACCGTTACGCGACATATCCTGTGTGTTTGCGGGAATTCTGCAAACTTGTTCCAAATGAGATATTCTGTCATATGAATGACAATTTAATCATACCTTGACCGTTATGGGGACATTCCAATATCCCCGATCAGAACCACCCTTTTTGGAGTTATAACAGTTGTAGTAAAAACAGGTTCATCGGTATCGTTTGCATGCCTTTTCCAGCCAGCCGTTGTTTTCAGCCACTCCATAGTTCGTCAGCTACGGATTGTCTTTAGAAGCTGGCCGTATCTCATACTCAGTGTTTATGGTATGATAGATGTTGAAAGCCGTTCGGCTTCGTCCACCCAAATCTTTTTGAAGCAGTTCACGGGTTTGAGGCTAAACTGAACCGAGCCAGGTTGAGCTCAATTAACTAGTGATTCGTGTGATACGGAAGTGAGCTAATGGAGTGTGTGGTGTATTTGGGATGTGGCAAATCATGTGACAACCAAATTCGGAATAACTCACCGATTCATCTTCCAGATCGCTTTCTTCTGTGTTAAATCGGGCGAAATCGGACAATCGTACATCACTGCGAGTATTTGTCGTTCCCACTTTGTTGGTTCGAACTTGGTCGGGGATGAAACTGACATCATTGTAGCACCAATTTACGAAGCCGGGAAAATTGATCAACCTCTTTCTCTCTCCCTCTCTCTCTCTCTCTCCTTCTTGCACATCTCTCTGTCTTCTATCTTTCTCTTTACTCGAAGCTTTTTGATTTCAATCTTGAAGTGCAACAAATTCTTGAGGTTTTGGTGGGCAAAACAATGGAACAGGCCCTACTCGAGGTTATGGAAGAAGAGGAACTGGCTGATTTACGCTGGCAACAGGAAGTGTTACAGGAGATTCACAATGCCGATCTGGCCGAGGTGGCTCGTCTGGAAGATCGGAATAGACGCTACGAGTAAGAAGCGCAACGAATTTCTGTTTCGTTTGTCACTTGTCATTTTCTCCGAGTTACTAGATTTATGAGGATAAAAATTAAAATTATTGTTTTCTGATGTTTACGGTAAAATCCAGGTTACCTGTGGGCCAAAATTCCTTCTTTGTCTAAAGTGCCCATCAGTCAACGCGGTTACATGACTTTGGGTGTCTTTTTGATCCGTCACAAAAAAGTTGTTTCTTTTACTAAAGGGATGCAAGGAGATAGATACCAAATAAATATTAGTGTCGCATGAACTAGTTATTTACCATCATTCACTTTCATGTCTGCAATTTGATCTAAATTTCTTGCATAATAATCTACTCCACCCCCGTCGCCGCCCGCGCATTCCATTTCGATCGCCCCTAAACAATTAATTGCTGTCCTGTTCACTTTGGTTTAGTCTCAGTGGTTGCGTTGGATCCGGAAAACGGAATCGGTGAATGTATAACAGAGATATATATCCCGAGCACTTGCAGAGTAATCTGAGGGGACGCATCTTCAAGTGTGTTGGTCGTGTTCCCTCACCAGGTCTGCATCTGTAGGTTTAATTTTCCAACCAGATGCCCCGTTAGAGTCTGAAAAGAAGAAAATCATCGTCTAATCAGAAGCGATTCCTTCTAGTCTCTCTACTCCTTCTATTCGAGTTATTGAAGGTGTCACCCATACATTACCATGACCACCGTCATTACCAGTACTATGATTATGGGCACTATTATTATTACGATTCTTAGCATTATTATAAATAGTCAAGTTCCAAAACCTCATTAGGATTACCTTCCTTATACTCTATCCGAAAGGCCCAAAATTTGATTTGATCGGACCACCAGAAATTTCAAACCAGGGTTATTCATGCTTTCCAAACATCAGTACATTGCGGGTAAAAGACTTTTTTCACCAATTCATAACATCCGGTTATAACAGTTACATGTACGTTTCTATACAAGTTACCTTGGAATATTGATCAATGTGTTTATTGGAATCAAGTTGCTTAAAAGCCAATCACAAAGTGATGAGACTGACAAATTCCAGCCCACACCCGAGGAAATGATGTTTTGGACAAGATTATTACTAATCATCCTAATATTTTCTCTCTCAAACTCAAGGTGCAATTCTCGTCCATTGATCATTGTCTCCCAAATCTTAGACCAAAGGTTTACTCTCGGTTGGATTACCCTGTTTTTGTCGAACCAAAACAAATGAACATGAAAATTCGAGATCCTTCAGCCGACAGACTCCATCTCCTGAGGAAATCTCTTGCTATCATCTCTTCTTGGTTTTCCATTCAACAGTCTCCCTGTTCTGTTAAACATTTTACAGAAACAGTTAGTGCGATTTTCAATCTATGCTGTTCTATGGAAACAGTTTTTTGTTCACACTGGCAGAGTATGCTCTACACGATTAAAAGCTCTTAGAAGGCAAAAAGAACTAGCGTTTAAGATGCATCAAGCAGCCACTGTCAAACGGCTTACACTGAAAATCAGGACAGAGATCAAGAGACTGAAGGCTTCATTCGCAAAGCAGGTTCTGGGAGCTGGAGAGGAAAGACGGTTACGGCAAGGGTTCAGATTGCTTTGCGGACAGAAGTAATGGACAACAAACAAAACTGTTGACGTGGACAGCCTCAAGGCTGCATTCAATTATCTTTCGAATGATCTCCTGTCTCCGTACTCCACAGATCATTTATCTACCATAAACCCAGTCGCACATGAGGAGTTCTACCATCTTCTCAAAACTACGAAAATCACGGACGCAGTTGACCCCGATAGTCTCTCTTCGTCATTGCTCAAATATGGCACCAGCTCCGTCACAGAGATGTTTATTATTACTATTATTATTTATTATTTATTATTATTATTAATCAATCCGTTTACACATGTTTGATTCCGGATTCCTGGAGACCGTTCACCATTGCTCCTATTCGTAAACCCTCTTCCTCCAGCATTTTATCTAAACGCTTTCGTCCTATCGCCATCATCTCCTCTGGACTTAAACTTGCAGAGCGCGCTGTTCTCACCCGCTTGCAGTCTGGTATTATTGTTCCCAATGACCCCCTCCAGTTTGCATACAAACCAAATAGATGCACCCTAGATGCCATCTCTTCAGTGAGTCACTTTATTTGCAAATCTTTAAATGATTCTAAAAATTCGGTTCGTTGTGTTTTCCTTGACTATTCTTCCGCTTTTGATTCCGTTCCACAATCTCTTCTTCTGCAAAAGTTACAGTCAGTCGGTTGCCCCACCAACTTATTATCATGGTTAAAGGATTATTTCACAGGAAGGATTCAAAGAACGAAAGCAAACGGCACTATTTCAAAACCGTTAGTGAATAATTCTGGTGTTCTTCAGGGTGCTGTACTCTCTCCCTTCTTATTTTCAACTTTCATCAGTGACTTACCTTCAATCCCACCAGGCAAGACCTTTACGTATGCAGATGATGTTGTCTTATGTCAAGCCATTTCAAACCAATCGGACACAGCATCATTTTCCGACAGTTTACTACAAATACAATCATTCTCGTATCAATCCAGTCTCTGGCTGAATACTTCTAAGTCGTTTGAATGCATTTTTAGTCTTTCCCGATCTGATTATCCCTCGGAACCCTCAGTCATCAACTCCATACCCGTTACCGGAACACATACCACCAAATACCTAGGAGTCACCATAGACAGCAATCTACGGTGGTCTTCTCATGTGCTTGCTTGTGTTGGTAGACTGCGTTGCTTATCTTTTCAAGTACGCAAGCCTCGTCAATTTTGCGTCAGACATGAAACAGCATGTTCGTTAGTATATCAATGCATTTTTCCAGTCATACTTTATTGTTAGCCCGTTACTTTCCCTGGACTACTTAAACAGGATTTCATTACTCTACGTCGAGGTCTGGTAATTATTAGCCTTGTTTCTCTTATTCCCTTAAACACTCTGATCACAAAATTGTGTAATTTGCATATCACTTCATGTGAGAATTTCGCTCATAAGATATTCAATGACCCCAGTCATCCGCTAAATCCCGATTTACATGCTTGCCGTTCCCACGCTACAACCTGATCCAGTTTTCGCTGCTTACCCTCACACAAAAATTTATCGCAGCTCAACGGTTCCCTATCTGGCTCGTATTCTCACTGACACGGCGAGGATCCGTAACGAACTAATCTTAAATCTACAAAGATGAACATCATTTAGTTTTATCATTGTTGTATACGAATTTTGAATCCGTTTTTTATCCCATTGTAACGGTGAACACATTTTTGGCTGAAATGTAGGCATAGTTGCCTGCACAAGTCATCTATAATACAATACAATACAATACAAAGAATGTGTAGTGGATGGTCCGGAGATAGCGTTCGGTATTAGGCGTCATCATCTAGTCACAGTCAGATTGCTCATCTGGGTCAACGCAGTTGCTACCCGCCAGTTCAGACTAGTCAATGGGACCTCGTTGTTTTTTTGTCTTGTTTCTGTCCGCCTACTGAACTTTGTCGTTTTGATCCTCGGTCATTCTCGGAAATCCTTATTTCCAACACCATTCGTTTTAACAGTTTATGTTCTTGTTTTCTCAACCGATAAATATCTGAAGGGAGAGCATAACAAAGCTGGCTTACTCGATTCAAGTCCAGGTAAACTTCGCTGCATCTCAACTGGTATGCAATACGGCCGAAAACCACAGTTTCAATCGTTAGACAGTACATCAGGTTATACACGAATACGACTGCTGTATATCATCACATTTTTACCACTGCAAGCGCAGTAACAATGTGACTGGTAGTTCTTTTTGCACAAACAGATCAGGTGTGGTAATCGGAATAGTATTGAATACAGGAATACGAGAGCCTGCACTGTAATATTCATAACTGGATTGGCTCCAACCAGAGCTGCGGACACCAATGAAATACACGGAGTATCGGTAAAAGCAATTGCCAATGTTTATTCATAAAAATAGAGCATGTTTTATAGAAAGTAACAGGCCATATCACTGGTTGAAGGACCATCGCCCAATCACGTAACCGTTTGCCCATGCGCATCGCATGTATGCAATAGCTCTGTTGTAATGTTCGCCCGATGTACCATTGGTCCACCTGGTCGTACTTGGAATGCGGTCACGTATGTCTGGATCACCACACCAGGTTTCCATTTNGATCCTGAATCGACTTATTGGGTCCGGATCACGATTTGTGATCAACAGATATCGAGCGATAGATGACGCAGGCTACTTGTGTGTTAGATGTTCTTCCGTAAGGATGGGGGTTAGTCATGGTGTAATGTTATTGAGCTTTTTAGTAGTGGGTGATGCCTGTGTGTCTGTTTGAAGGGTCGAATTGAAGAAAGTCGTTTGATCATGTGATTCGGTCAATCAGTGTCTAAAACAACATGGGATGTGGACCTGGACCCGTGTGTATGCAACTACCTATATGTTCTGCCAATTTAAGGTGCTACACATCACATTCGAACAAGTAAATGACGTGTGTTTTGGCGGACAGTGATAAGGGTTGTTGTATGGGTGGNGAAAGCCAACGGAGGCAGTCGGGGAAAAGGTACAAATAATGCTGTATGAAGCACGCGACTACCTATGATTCGGACAGAGCTGACTGACAGAGAATGAGACAATAACTGGATGTGGATCAAATCACAGACGAGGATAAGCCATAAGTCGTTCGATGATGTAGAATAATAGATGAACTAGCGAGAAGCACTGACTCGTGGAGATGAAGCAGTAGTTTAGTCGCTGTCACCGGTAGGCTTTGGACTCTATGGTCCCAGGTTCGAGCACCACCACCGCCACCGCCATTCCAAGTCCCTGGGCTTAGATCACCGGTTTCCATCAACGAACAACAGATTTTTGCGACTATGGGGTTCACCCCGTCTGCTGTTCATCACACGGATGTGTGTAATAAAACATAACAGAGCGAAACAAGTTTCTGGTTTTACAACCATTACCCATGCACTTTCGTGCACCGGTTTTGATTGCTGTCTTTTGGCCGCCCATATA